CCCCAGGCCTGCCACGCTCCCGGGTCGCCCGGCCGTGTCCCCGAGGCCTGCCACGCTCCCCGGTCGCCCGGCCGTGTCCCCCAGGCCGCGCCTGCGGGCTGCTGACCCCCGGCCTCCCGCAGATGCTGAGCTGCCTGGAGCACATGTTCCATGACCTGGGCCTCGTCAGGGACTTCTGCATCAACCCCATCACGCTGCGCAGGTGGCTGGTGAGTGCGCGGGCCGCTCTCCGAGGGGGCGGCATTGCCTGCAAGGTGGCCCGGACACGCAGCCTGTCCGTCCTTGTGCACGGCGCCCTTTGTCCCAGAGCCCCCGTCCCAACGCGGGAGAAACAGGGAGAGCCCGGGAGGACGGGGAGGCCGCTTGGTCTAGAACAGCGGGCAGCTGCGAGCACGTGGAGATGGAGTGTGCGAGTGTGGGGGCCGCACGTGAGGGGCGTGCAAGGTGCGAGTGTGAGTGTGCGGTGAGTGTGTGCAGTGTGCAGGGTGCCTTCACGGCGGCGCAGGTGTGGCGCTGTGTCTGAGCCGGTGCCTGAGCCGCAGGGTGGACCGTGCACCTGCAGGGCCGGTGGTCAGCTGGCTGCTCTGGGCCCCGCAGCTCTGTGTGCATGACAACTACAGGAACAACCCCTTCCACAACTTTCGGCACTGCTTCTGCGTGGCGCAGATGATGTACAGCATGGTCTGGCTCTGCCGGCTCCAGGTGGGTCCCGCCCCCACGCCGCCCCCAGTCCTGGGGCGGGGAGCTGCACCTGTTGGCCTGTTGGGAGGCCAGGCCCCCTCAGGGACAGCTGGGGGTCCCCAGCTGCTCCTCCCTCTCCCAGGGACCCCCATTGCTGTGCACCCCATGGGTGAAGCCCTTCGTGGTTAACTGAACCCTGGGGACCCCACCGCCTGCCCCCATGGGCTGGGTGGCCGGGAGGGGCTGTGGCGAGCCCGTGCCCCCGCTCCCCATGCCAGCGGCCAGGTGAAGCGGTTAAAACTCGCACCCTGTTTCCTGCCCAGGAGAAGTTCCCACCGCTGGATATCCTGACCCTGCTGACGGCGGCCATCTGCCACGACCTGGACCACCCGGGCTACAACAACACGTGCGTGCTGCCTCTCGGGGGCCCCGGCCGCTCAGCCCTCGGCCGCCTCCCTAGGACTTTGTCCTGGGCTCCAGGCCTCCCCTAGCACGAGCCGTCAGGGCCACCAGCACGGTGGGGCTGGCCCTGGGGTCCAGGCTCAGTGGGTACGCGGCACCTCCCGTCTCCGTGAAGCAGGGGGCTTTGCCTGTGCGTGACACACGCAGACACACACATGTGTACACTCCCGCTCCCACACGCACACCCTGCCCCACGGCTCCCTCCTCCTGGGGCAGCCCCCGGCAGGAATGAGGTGAGGGCAGGGGCTACAGATGAGCAGACCTGGGGAGGGGTCCTTGCAGACCTGGGGGAGGGGGGCTGAGCCCCGCAGGACACGGCTGGCCTCCAGCCTGTATCGGCTGTATTTGCTGGCCACGGGACTGGGGGCTGCGTCCCTCGTGGGCATCAGCTGTGCCGAGAGCCCGAGCAGGCGTTGTCGGGGCCCGAGTCACTGTCCCCGTGGTGCCCCCTGCTCCCTGCTGCCCCTCCTGGACGTCTGCCCCACTTCTGCAAGAGGCCATGGTAACTTCCAGCACAGGGTTCACAAGCGGCCCCTGTCGGGCAGGACTGAGAGGACGTGGGGGCGCCGCCCGGGCCCGGGAGCTGCTGCGCGCAGGGGAGCCAGCAGAGGGGCCCCGCGGTGCTGCCGTCCGGCTCTGGCCTGAGCCTCCCCCGCCGCCTCGCTGCTGCAGGTACCAGATCAACGCCCGCACGGAGCTGGCCGTCCGCTACAACGACATCTCGCCGCTCGAGAACCACCACTGCGCCGTGGCCTTCCGCATCCTCGCCCGGCCCGAGTGCAACATCTTCTGCAACCTGCCGCCCGACGGCTACAGGCAGCTCAGACAGGTGCGCGGCTGGGCCGTGCCCCCGGGGGTGCTGGCAACCCGCCTGTGCCCTACCCCAGGGCTCGCGCGGAGCCCCAGCAACGGAGCCTGGGCCCTCCCGACGCGCCGTCCCACCGACCCGCACCCATGGCCTTTTTTTTTTTTTTTTAAGATTTAGTCATTTATTTGAAAAGCAGAGTTACAGAGAGGCAGAGAGAGAGAGAGAGAGAGAGAGAGAGAGAGCTCTTCCATCCACTGGTTCACTCCCCAGATGGCTTCAGTGGCCAGAGCTGAGCTGACCTGAAAGCCAGGAGCCAGGAGCTTCCTCAGGCCTCCCATGCGGGTGCAGGGGCCCAAGGACTTGGGCATCTTCCACTGCTTTCCCAGGCCACAGCAGAGAGCTGGATCAGAGAGGAGCAGCCAGGACTCGAACCAGCGCCCACATGGGATGCCGGCACTGCAGGCAGCAGCTTTACCCACTGTGCCACAGCTCCGGCCCCCCCACGGCCCCTTAGAGCAGCCCACACGTGGCTTCTCTCGTGGCCAGCCCTTTGTCCACTTTGCCGCTGGGGAAACTGAGGCTTGACGAGGTCAGATAGCGCTCCCGCGGGCGAGCAGGCCCTGGACAGACACGCGTGCTGTCCCCAGCCCCCAGAGCTGGCCACTGCCCCATGCGGGCATCTCCTCCACGGCACTTCGGCCCATCAGAAACAGCACCCCCCACGCAGGGGCCCGCTGAGCCCCAGCTCCACGCTGCACCCTCTGGCGTTTGTGGGGGAGGAGGTCTCGGGGTGACCCCGGGAGAGGAGGAGTGGGGTGTACTTGGAAGGTCGTCTTGGCACACACCCTTAGGTCTCCAGAGACTCCCCTGAGGCCCAGAGGGAGGGCACAGATATGAGGGGTCGAGGCTGCAGTGATGTGGCACGGCCCTGCCCCTGCCCTCAGTGTGGACGCTGGGCCTCCAGCGCTGTGAGGGAGCCGCCCACCCCCACCCCCGGGGCCTGAAGCATCAGAGCAGGTGCACCCCTGTGTTTGGCACTCACGGGGGGGTGCCAGCACCCCAGGGAGCCGTCGTGGGGGGCTGCCCCCCACGTGGGATCCTCCACCATGGAGCTCCTGTGTCAGGTGCCCCACCAACTTTAAGACGAGACTTTTGGGGTGTAGTCGCCCTGATGGTTTACAAAAATTTTGGCTTTGAGGATTTTGAGGGGTAGCTGAATAGATCATTAATAACACAAGTAAATCTTTACCCAAATTGCTGAATTCAAATGGAATGCTGCCCCCCATACACATCTGGGATTCCCTGAATTCCCGACGTGGATTTTGTGTGTGATACTTGGGGGCTTCTTGTTTTGGAAACATAGAACAGCACAGCCGATGCCGAGTTGTGCTCTGCAGATACCGTGGGATGGAGAGACGGTGGGGTGGGGGCGAGGACAGATGAGGGATGGGTGGGTGGTCATGGTTTCAAATTAATGCTGCTTTTCCTGAGCCAGTTTGGCTAACCAGGCAGTGAGCTACTTATTTTTTAGAGATTTATTTATTTATTTGAAAGAGTTACAGAGAGGCAGGAGAGAGGTCTTCCATCCACTGGCTCACTCCCCAAGTGGCCACAGCGGCTGGAGTGGGCCAGGCTGACGCCAGGAGTCAGGCACTCAAGCCGTCTTCCGCTGCTTTCCCAGGTGCATTAGCAGGGAGCTGGGTGGGAAGTGGAGCAGCCGGGACTTGAACCAGCATCCATGTGGGATGTCGACATCGCAGGCAGTGGCTTTACTCGCTACGCCACAGCGCCAGCCCTATTTATATTTTTTAAAAACTCACTGCTTTCTCATTTTACAAATCATTAAGTGTCGTTAGCTGTGTTGAGACTTCACTCACTGCCAAACCGTGAGCACATGCATGTCACATGCAGTTAGATGACAGGGAAGACCCCTGGGAGGCCAGTTACTGCCCCACCCCCCCAGGAGCTGGGGACAGACCACACGCAGGGCTCCGCCAGGTCCCGGGGCGTGGAAGCAGGTGCCGCAGATTCTCCCAGAACGTCCGAGTGCCCTCGTGGACCTGGGTTGCTGCATCGAGGGGAGATGTCGGCCGCACAGCCGAGCCCGGCCAGTCACGGGGCCAGGCCTGTGGCACGAGGGCACCGCGCCCAGTGGCAGGCTCGCAGCCTGGGCGCAGCTGTGGCAGGGCGAGGTCGGCTGCCTCCTGGCGTCCTGTGAGTGCTGGGCTGCGGGCTGGGGTGGCGTCCTGGCAGGCGGTGAGGACTCCCACTGCAGAGAGCCCAGGCCCAAGTCCCAGCTCCGGCACCCGCTCCTGTCCCTGCTGACGCAGCCCCGGGGAGGCAGTGGTGAGGGCTCCCGTGGTCGAGTCCCTGCCACGCGCGTGGAGACCCGGCTTGCGTTCCCAGACCCCGGCCCCGGCCCTGGCCCCGCCCCAGCCGTCATCTGGGGGGACAGGGACCCCAGGCCTCAGCGCGGAGTCCGAGTCAGCGCTTTGCTCTCCCCGCCCAGGGCATGATCACCTTGATCCTGGCCACGGACATGGCGCGGCACGCCGAGATCGTGGCTGCTTTCAGAGAGAAGCTGGAGGACTTCGACTACAGGAACGAGGAGCACACGACGCTGGTGAGTGGCTGCTGCCGACGCGGCTTCCAGGGCCCCTGCTCCTCCAGCAAACCTCGGCGGGGCCTGCCCTGCACAGCTGCCCTGCGGCTGGGGTGCTCCTCCCGCGCCCCGCCCCCTTCTGACTTGCGGGGGCCACCTGGGTGGAGGTCAGGCCTCTCCCACGAAGGCACAGCCCCCAGAACAGGAGCCGCCAAGGGCCAGCCCCCAGGGACCCAGCAGGACCCCCGCCCCAGCCAGCCTGCGTTTCAGGGCTGTGTGCCCAGAGGGGGAGGGGACCTCATGCTTGACCTTCCCGGGGTCTGCCTTTCTGGGGAGAGAAACAGGCAGACGTTCCGGGGCCTCCAGAGGAGGGTCGTGGGGTTGGGTCCTGGCCAAGGGCACGCCCTGTGCTCGGAAGTCGGTTGTGTGACAGGGACACCGCCGCCTTCCGTCAGCAGGGAGGGTGCCCAAAGGTGACGGGATCAGGCCTGGCGAGGGGCGGGGCTTCTGGCACGGGGTCACCGCAGCGTGGAGCTGGCTCAGGGTCCAAGCCCTCGGCTGGCACTCGAGACCTCGCTGTGAGACAGCAGCGGCAGGTGGCTGGTGTCCCTGTGGTCCAGGGCGTGTAAAGGTCTAGACAAGGAGGAGTGGGGACGGGCAGGGTGGGAGGCGGGGCCCGCGGAGGAGACGGAGAGGGCAGCAGGCGGGGGCGCGCTCAGAGTGGCGCCGGGGCCCGCGGTGCAGCCCGGAGGCCAGAAGAGGCTAAGGGCAGCTTATTAGATCCCACGTAGTCTGAGCGAGCCCTTCACCGAGGAGAGCTGAGAAGCCATGGCAGAGGCAGGCTGGGCCAGTGCGGTCTGCTCTCCTGCAGGGACTTGGAGCCAGAGCCGCCCTCGGCCAAACCACGTCCCCCTCCCACGGGAGGCCACAGGCAGCTCCAGGGCCACCCTCGAGGCCACGTGACACGTGACACGTGATCAGCCCTGGACGGGGAGGTCAGGGATCCCAGGGACGGCCAGGATGCCAGCCCTGCAGGGCCAGGCTGCAGGCCATTACTGGGCTGGGTCCAGGGGGACGCTTTGGCCGGCCCTGCGGCCTGAGCTGTGAACTTCCTGAAGTACAGGTGGCCGCCCACCCCTGCCGGGCAGGAGGGCACCCAGCCTCCAGGAAAGACGAGGAGGTCCACTATCTAGGGAGGGCTCCCAAGAGGGGGCAACCGGACGCGGAGCGGTGCCGCAGGGGCCATCACTGGGGCCAGGAAGGCCAGACGAAGGGGCCCCACCCGGCCGGGGCCCAGGAGGAGCGCGCTGAGCCACACGGCAGGGGCACCTGCGGGTACAAGCCCAGGCATCCCCGCCACACACACCCAACCGCCCAGCAAATGCACAAGGTCCAGGAGCCGAGGGCGGAGCCAGGGCTTCCTCTGATGGCCTGCAGAGTTGGGTTCTGCCCGATGGACACCCAGCGGCCAGCAGGGCCCGGCTTGCTTCTGCCCCTGTGTTCGGGCACAGAGGAGCTGAGGCCGGCGCCCCGTGAGCTCTCACAGGAGGGTCCGCTCCTCGCTCTGTGTCTCTGAAGCCAACTCCCTCAGTGCCGCCGCCGGGGCCCTGTAGCCGTCGGCTCAGCAGGTGTCTCCCAGCTCCCTGTTTGAACCTGTGCCTTTGGCCGATGCTGTCCCTGGCTCATTCGCTCGCTAGCTCTCTCGCTCTCTCGCTCTCTCGCTCTCTCTCTCTTCCTGCGTCTCCATAAATCAGGAAGCTGTTTCTGGGATTTGCAGTTTATGGTTTTTATGCAAAGTAGCGTGAATCTGCTGCTTTGGGGTGCAGGGTGTCCCCTCCCCCCACCCCAGGAGGCTAAGACCCAGGTACCCTGCTGGAGCGCGTCCTCCCTAAAGTTGGCAGAGCTCGGTCCCCGCCGCCCAGGGCCCCGACGAGCCCCTGACGCAGGGCCCCGCCCCCTCCCCTAACTTCCGGCACCTCCATTCCAGCTGAAGATGATCCTGATAAAGTGCTGTGACGTCTCGAACGAGGTGCGACCCATGGAAGCCGCCGAGCCATGGGTGGACTGCCTGTTGGAGGAGTACTTCATGCAGGTGACAGCCGCAGGGATCAGGGCCGTGTCCGCAGGAGCCAGCGGCGGGGACGGGCCAGCCTCCGGAGAGCCCTCCCACACGCGGAAGAGCCGATGTGGTTGAGGCGCACGGCCGCCTCCATGGGGCCGCTGGTTCCCGGGCCGACTTGTCAGGCTTAGAAGTCAACCAGCAAGAACTGGGGGCGGGGGCGGGAGAGAGCTCGGGCTGGGGACACCCAGCCGTCCGCTGGAAGGCTGAGACAGAGTGGTGGGGCTCGGCGCCGGCTGGGGTTCTGTCCCGGGCGGCCTCTGTCCCGAAACGCGTCCTCGTGGCTCCTGGCTGCGCGCCCGGCAGGGACCGGTTCGTGGTGAATCCCAGATCGGAGTCCCTGCTCCGCTCGCTCCCCATCTAATTTCCTGCTGACGCACACCCTGGGAGGCAGTGGCGATGGCTCAAGTCCTCGGGCCCCTGCACCCACGTGGGACACCTGGGTGGGGCTCCAGGCTCCTGGCTCAGCCTGGCCCGGCTGCAGCTGTTGTGGGCTTTTGGGGAGTGAAGGAGTAGATGGAGGACTTCTCTCTGCCTGTCTCTCTGTCCCCGTGATTGCCGGCGGTGTGGCCACAGCTGTCAGTTGCCGGCTGTGTGGTGGTGGCTCGGTTGGTAGCCGGCTGGCCGGCTGGTTTGGGGCCTCCTCCAAGACCAGTGGTGTTCCCTGCTCTCAGATCTGGGTCCGGGGCCATCCCTGTCTCATGTCACATCTTCTGCCTCCCCCAGAGTGACCGCGAGAAGTCGGAGGGGCTCCCTGTGGCCCCGTTCATGGACCGAGAGAAAGTGACCAAAGCCACAGCCCAGATTGGGTTCATCAAGTTTGTCCTGATCCCAATGTTCGAAATGGTGACCAAGGTGAGACGTCACAGCAGGGAAACGTACACATCCGTGCTTGCATGCACGGGCACACATGACACACACGTGTGTGCACACATGACACAGGCACACGTGGACACGTATGCTCAGACACACATGACACAGGCAAGGCACACATGCACACATGACATACACATCCGCAGGCACACATGGACACACATGTGTGGGCACATATGACACAGGCACACATGACACACACATGCACACACATGCACACATGACATACACATCCGCAGGCACACATGGACACACATGCGCAGGCACACATGACACATGTACAGGCACACGTGGACACATGCACAGGCGCATATGACACACATGACAAGGCACACATGGACACGTATGTGCAGACACACATGACAAGGCACACATGACACACACATGCACACATGACATACACATCCACAGGCACACATGGACACACATGCGCAGGCACACATGACACATGCACAGGCGCACATGGACACATGCACAGGCGCACATGGACAGACAGGCACACATGACACACACATGCGCAGGCACACATGGACATGCACATGTGCAGGCACACACATGAGCAGGCATACATGGACACACGCACAGCCTCAGAAGCCTGCTCCCACTGTGGCCCCAGAACTGTTTCCCCCGCCCCTGCAGCCCTGCCCCATCCCCCACACTCCCGGCCCCTCCCTCTGCAGCCCTGACCACCAGCTGGGTCCTCTGCCCTGGGATGGGCGCCCCCAGCCGTTAGCCCCGGGCTCCAGGTCCCATCTCGTCACCCACCCCAGCCTTCCCCTCCCATATCATCCCCATCCCCTCCAGCGCCCAGAGCGGCCTGGGGCACCTGCCCAGACCCTCACCTCCAGACACCCCCCGCCCCCGTGCACAGAACAGACCCGGCCCCAGGCCTCCCCTCTCTGAGCCAGGCCAAGGCTGCAGAGCCTCCCAGCCCCTCCCCCTGCCTCTGTGGCCCCCAGCTCCCTGGATCCTCCTCCAGCCCCTCCCAGACCTCCGCAGCCTCCACCTGCTCTCAGGCGTGGGAGGGGCCCATGAGGGAGGGGCACAGGAGACAAATGGGGTGGGGGCACGAGGGTCCCTGGGGGTGCACTGCGCACCGTGGATGGCCCTGAAGGCCCAGGCCTGACACCCGTGGGTCCACAGCTGTTCCCCGTGGTGGAGGAGCTCATGCTGCAGCCACTGCGGGAGTCCAGGGATCACTACGAGGAGCTGAAGCGGAGAGACGACGCCACGGGCGAGGTGCGCGGCAGGGGAGGGTGGGCTGGTGCGCAGCACGGCAGGCAGGGGAGGGTGAGGAGGTGCAGGGGCACGGCAGGCAGGGGAGGGGTGGGGAGGTGTGCAGCACGGCAGGCAGGGGAGGGTGGGGAGGTGCACGGCACAGCAGGCAGGAGAGGTGTGGGGAGGTGCGGGGGCACGGCAGGCAGGGGAGGGTGGGGAGGTGCGCGGGCACGGCAGGCAGGGGAGGGGTGGGGAGGTGCGCGGGCACGGCAGGCAGGGGAGGTGCGCAGGCACGGCAGGCAGGGGAGGGGTGGGGAGGTGCATGGCAGGCAGGCAGGGGAGGTGTGGGGAGGTGTGGGGGCACGGCAGGCAGGGAAGGTGTGGGGAGGTGCGCGGGCACGGCAGGCAGGGGAGGTGTGGGGAGGTGGGGCACGGCAGGCAGGGGAGGGGTGGGGAGGTGGGGCACGGCAGGCAGGGGAGGGTGGGGAGGTGCGTGGGCACAGCAGGCAGGGGAGGTGTGGGGAGGTGTGGGGGCACGGCAGGCAGGGGAGGGGTGGGGAGGTGCGTGGCAGGCAGGCAGGGGAGGGGTGGGGAGGTACACGGGCACGGCAGGCAGGGGAGGGGTGGGGAGGTGCGTGGCAGGCAGGCAGGGGAGGTGTGGGGAGGTGCGCGGGCACGGCAGGCAGGGGAGGTGTGGGGAGGTGCACAGGCACGGCAGGCAGGGGAGGTGTGGGGAGGTGCACAGGCACGGCAGGCAGGGGAGGTGTGGGGAGGTGTGGGGGCACGGCAGGCAGGGGAGGGGTGGGGAGGTACGCGGGCACGGCAGGCAGGGGAGGGGTGGGGAGGTGCGTGGCAGGCAGGCAGGGGAGGTGTGGGGAGGTACGCGGGCACGGCAGGCAGGGGAGGGGTGGGGAAAGGGCGCCTGGCACAGCAGGCAGGGGAGGTGTGGGGAAAGGGCGCCTGGCACAGCGGGCAGGGAAGGGGCAGGGAGGGGCCAGCGGCCCCAGGAGGCCAGGGGGGCACAAGGCCATCCACCACAAAGCCTCCGAGTCGCTCAGGAGTGGCCGCTGGACAGGGACGCAGCAGCCACCCACATACACGGCAGCCGGCCCCCCTCCCCGTTTGCAGAGAACCCATGTGCCTTCCAGAAAGGGTCAGGTTCCCAGGCTCAGAGCCCACGAGCCACCCTGGCTGTCAGAACTCAGTGTGTGCAGATCTCCCGCCCAGAGCCTGCCAGGTGCCCCACAGATGCCAGCAGCCCCGCCCACACAGGCCCCGCCCCTCACACCTTGTCCCAGGTCTGGCCTTGCCCGCGTGATCTCACTGCCCAAGCTGAAACGTGTCCACGTCCACTGCCCCCCCCAGGTACTGGGCCCCGGCTGCCCTCGGCATCCTGCTGGCCCTGAGCTGGTTCCCTGGTCCCCTGTGTCGGGCTTGTCTCCCCCAGCTGCACCCAAGGCCAGGCATGCAGTGGCGCCCAATAAGTGCTTAGCAGTCAGGTGTCTGCCAGGTCAGAGGCTTTGGGAAGGCCCAGAGGCCAAGAGCAGGAGAAACGGGGGTGGGGTTGGAAATGAGCAAGGGGGTCTCCCCAGGACCGGGGGGGGGGTCTCCCCACAGCAGGGGGTCTCCCCAGGACAAATGGGTCTCCCCACAGCAGGGGTCTCCCCACAACAGGGGTCTCCCCAGGACAAAGGGGTCTCCCCTCGGCAGGGGTCTCTCCACAGCAGGGGGGGTCTCCCCACGGCAGGGGGTCTCCCCAGGACAAAGGGGTCTCCCCACGGCAGGGGTCTCCCCACAACAGGGGTCTCCCCAGGACAAAGGGGTCTCCCCTCGGCAGGGGTCTCTCCACAGCAGGGGGGGTCTCCCCACGGCAGGGGTCTCCCCACAACAGGGGGGGTCTCCCCAGGACAAGGGGTCTCCCCACGGCAGGGGTCTCCCCTCAGCAGGGAGGTCTCCCCTCGGCAGGGGTCTCCCCACAGTGGGGGGGTCTCCCCAGAGCAGGGGGGCTCTCCCCACGGCAGGGGTCTCCCCACAGCAGCACGGTCCCGGCTCTCCCAGCTGTCCCGGGAGCCAGGGCTGGCCAGGAGGGATCCTACGGCCTGCTGCCCAGACCCGGGGTGCTGCCACCCTGCCCCCGATGGACAGGAGAGGCCGAGCCCGAGCCAGGCCCCTGCGGCTGTGCCGGCTGCAGCCAGTGGAGCGCCTGAGCTCCGGGTCCAGGCACCAGGCGAGGCCCGGCCATCGGGGACAGCCACATGGGCCCAGCTCTCGTGAGCAGCTCGCGGGTGGGGCTCCGGGCTGCAGAGGCAGGACCTGGCAGGCACCTGTGTGTGTGGGTGTATGTGGGTGTGTGTAAGGCTGTGTGTATGGGTGTGTGGGGGATATGATGTGCACTGTGTGGTGTGTATTATGTGTGTGGGCGTGTGTAAAGGTGTGTGTGTACAGTGTGTGATGTGTGCATGGTGTGTGTATGTGTGCATGTATGATGTGTGGTGTGTGTGTATGGTGCGTGTACACATGTATGATTGTGGTGTGTATGCATGTGTAGGTATGATGTGTGTGAGTGTGGGGTGTGTGTACAATGTGTGTTGTGTGCATGGTGTGTGTGTGCATGTATGATGTGTGGTGTGTGTGTATGGTGCGTGTACGCATGTATGATTGTGGTGTGTATGGCGTGTATGCATGTGTAGGTATGATGTGTGTATTGAGTGTGGGGTGTGTGTGTACAGTGTGTGTATGGTGTGTGTACACATGTATGATTGTGGTGTGTATGGCGTGTATGCATGTGTATGTATGATGTGTGTGTTGAGTGTGGGGTGTGTGTGTACAATGTGTGTTGTGTGCATGGTGTGTGTATGTGTGCATGTATGATGTGTGGTGTGTGTGGTGCGTGTACGCATGTATGATTGTGGTGTGTATGGTGTGTGTGCATGTGCAGGTATGATGTGTGTGTTGAGTGTGGGGTGTGTGTGTACAATGTATGTGTGGTGTGTGCGTGTCTGTGTATGATGCGTGTGTGTGTGGGCGCAGGCATCTCAGCGCCCCACTGGCTCCCTGGGACTGACGCAGCCACTCTGCTCCGCCCTAGGGACCGGAGAGGACAGAGAATTTGACATCTGGGAGCACGGAGCGATCCACACAGAAGAGCAGGGATGTGCACAACAGCCAAGGTGGGAGGCGCTGAGTGATGGCGACCCGCCCCCCCCCCCGCCTCCCCTGCCTCCACCGCCCCCGCCTCCCCTGCCACACACCAGGCCCCGGTGGAGTGGGGGAGGGCAGGCAGGCGCGGGGGCAGCCAGCCCCCCGTGTGGTCCCGTGTGTTTGCTCCGTGTGGAGGTGGCGCTCGGGCCGAGGGCAGGGGGCGCCCCCAGCTCACAGCAGAAGTGACCGTGGGGGCCAGCTGGGAGCAGCTCCGCTGAAGCACCTGCGGCCGGGCGGGGTTTGCCCTGGCGCCCTGGCCCCACCCGCCCCGGGGTTGTCTTAGCAACCGCACAAGTGCCAGGCGTGCCAGCATTTCATTTCTAAGTCAGAACATTTTTTTGTTTGTGTCTATGTATTCGAGAGACAGGCAAGAGCCCCGTCCAGGGTTCACTCCCCAGATGCCCAAACGGCCGAGGCTACGCTAGGCCGGGAGCCGGGAACCGACCCAGGTGTCCCCGGTGCGTGGCAGGGCCCCGGCCACCTGTGCCGCCTGCACTGGCTCCGGGTGCGCACAGCAGGGAGCTGGGACGTGGGCGTCGTGACCACAGCCAGGCAGCCAGCCCAGTGGGGTCTGGGAGGGGTCGCTCTGGTTCCACAGTGCCTGGCCGGGGTCCCCGGCGTGTCCTGGCGCCGCCTGTGCCGTGGCCTGGGTGTGAGCCCACGCATGCCCAGTCAGGCCAAAGCCGACCCAGGCCCTCCTCTCCCCAGCAGACCGCGCCTGAGGACGGCGGGATCCGGAGGCCGAGGAGCTCGGGGAGCCCCCGGGCCGGGCGGGGGTGGGGCTCTGGGTGCCTCCGCCTACAGCTTCCAGAACCACAGGAACTCACGACGCTGTACAGAACTTTTATTTTTGAACTGTCTTTTAGATAATATATTCTTATACAGAAATCGGCCTGGCTTGTTCTCTGCCGTGTCCCTGGGGGCAGCCACCCGGCTGGGGGTGGGGGAAGGTGTGGTCCCTGGGGGGGCCGGGATGCCTGCAGCCTCCTGTGCAGGGCGGGGACGGGGTGGTGGAGACGGGCCTGGTGTGGGAGTGGCCAGGACGCCTGCAGCGCGTGTGGGGGAGCCCAGTGTCCTCTGCCTCCCCCACCTCCCCCTCCTCCCCCACCTCTCCAGCCTCCCCCGCCGACCCACCCATGAGTGCCCACGTGGCCGGCCAAGGGCGGAGTCTGTCTGCGGGGAGGCGGGGCTGCAGCATCCATTTGATTGGAGCAGAGGCTGTCACTCCACTGCAGCGCCCTCCCCTCCCCTGCCCTTCCTGCCTCAGTTTTGGGGACAGGCACTGGGGACGTTCTAGGTGGCCTTTTCACCCCCAGGAGGCCCCTGGTCAAGCTTTGACCTAGGCTGGCCTGAGCTGCCCCTCGGGCCCCTCCCCACGCGCTGGGACGGTGGCGAGCTTCCGCCAGCGGCCTGACCGTGAGAGCCGCGTGGACATTCCGTGGTGCGTCGGTTCCAGGTCCTCGGCCTCCGCCCCCTCTTGGTGAATTCCAGAACAGTGCATCCGTCTCCACCAGTTCACTTCCGGCCATAAACCCCTCCCCACCTGCACCCAGCTCAGCCTGCCCGGGGACTTCCTGCTGAAGCCAGCGCAGGCGGCCGCTGCTCCCCTCACCCCTCACCCCTGCCGGCCCTGGCTTCTCTCGGCCGGGTCCTTGGCAAGGCCTCCCTCACGTAGCTGGGCCCTCATCCCCACGCTTCACAGAGCCCACGTGCACACGCACACTCACATAGGTACACGTGTGGCATGCCAACATGACCCGTGTTTACATGTGCTTGTGTGCACACATGCATGGGCACATGTGTATGTATGACAGTCACACACGCACACACGTGTGGACACACATACCACACCCCTGCACTCCGCACTGCACTGCCTCTGGCTTTGGGCAGGGAGCCAGGTACGGGGAGAGGCCACCTGGGCGGCAGCTCTGGTGGGAGCTGGTTCTGGGGGAGCAGCCCGTGTGCCCGGAACCTGCCCCCAGCGCATCCACGCGTGGGGCTCAGTCAGCGGCCGCCCTTGTCACTGATGGCCCGGGCTGGGTTAGAGGTGCCTGCGGCCCAGCAGGGGAGGCCGAGAACACACACAGCTCCCCGCCCTCAGCAAGACCAGCGAGTGCGTGGCCCCAGGGGCTCCAGGCAGACAGGGCCCCAGGGCCAGCACAGCCCCACAGCGTGACGCCCCTCACATGGCCAGCCCCGCCCCCACCTGTTCCCTTAGCGTGATGGACGGCCGTGCCAGAGCAGAGCCCCGCATCTGGAAACGGGTGACAGCCATGCTCCGAAACACGACCGGCACGGCTGCCACCCCCCACGCAGCACGGCGGCCCAGGCCCTCGGCTGAGGGGCGGCGCTGTCCCCGGGCAACCAGCCACGGCCTGAGGCCAGCCGTGCCCTCGTCACCTTGCCGTCCTGTCCTTGTGGCTTTCCTCCCGAGAGCAGGGTGCAGGCCAAAGTCAGACCCCACAGGTCCCAGCCCCTCAGCCTCCTAGATGTCCCCCGACAGCCTGTTGCCTGGGACACGCAGCTCCCGCCCACCCAGGTCTCTGGCTGAGAGTTGGGCTTTGACCAGCAGGTGAGGAAAGAAGGAAGCAGAGACGTGGCCGCCCCGGAGGCTCCGCGTGCTGGATGCCCCCGCCCTGCCTCTCGTGAGCTGCCCGTCTCGGTCCAGCTCGCCTGCCTTGGTGCCCTGTGAGAGCGAGAGTGACAGGGGCTGCCTGTGGCTTCCCGTGCTGCGCGTGGCCTGGCTGCCTGGCCCACTGCCCCAGGGGGCGCCAGGGCCACCCTCGGCCCAGAACCCGGGGCTGGACAAGGCTCTGCTCTGCCTCGCTCTGCCCACGGATGGAGAACATCACTGTCATAGGCGTGCTGGGCCCCGTGGATACAGGAGTCCTCGGGTCGTGCCCGCCGCCGGCCTCCCAGCCCTGGCACGAGACAGGAACCGGGGTGCAGGTCCCCCCACCGCTGGGTCGCCTCTGTGTTTGGCAGAAGATCTCCCAGGGAGCGAGACCTCCTGTGGGAGCCACAACCTCAAAGGGGCAAGACCCCAGCTATGGGCGGAATCCTGTCCCCAAGTATTCCAGGGGCAGGGATTGAAGAGAGAACCAAGGAAACAGAAGGCCGGGAAGTGGGCTCTGACCTGACCTGGCAGGTGTCCGTTAGAGAAGAGGAGATGAGGACATGGACAGGCACAGAGGGAGGACCACAGGACAGAGGACACGTGGGCACAGGGGGAGGACCACAGGACAGAGACAGGACACGTGGGCACAGAGGGAGACCACGGGAGAGGACACGTGGGCACAGAGGGAGGCCACGGGAGAGGACACGTGGGCACAGAGGGAGGCCATGGGAGAGAGACAGAGGACACGTGGGCACAGAGGGAGGACCACAGGAGAGAGGACACGTGATTACAGAGAAAGGACCATGGGAGACAGGACACGTGGGCACAGAGGGAGGACCACGGGAGAGAGGACACGTGGGCACAGAGGGAGACCACGGGAGAGGGGACACATGATTACAGAGGGAGACCACGGGAGAGAGGACACGTGGGCACAGAGGGAGGACCACGGGAGAGAGGACACGTGGGCACACAGACACAGCAGGACACTGAGTTTCCCAGCAGAGGCGCTGCCTAGGCCGGCGTCCCCTCTCCCCCCTCCTCCCCTTCCACAAAACCTATCCAGCTGCTGGGCCCCCGGCACGTCCGCCCCTCAACCCCGGCTGTGAGCTCCAGAGCCCCTGGAGGGCACCAGGTCACGGCTGGAGTGCCCGGCCCCAACCACGTTGGAAGAGCCACAGAGTGAGCCAGAGCCGGCCCTTTGCTGCTCGCCTCCTGCCTCCCTGCTTCCTCCTCCCCCTTCCCCCCCCCCCCCCGCCCTTTGCTGATCTGCATGGAATGTGCCCTCCCCCTCCCCCTCCCCCTCCCGGGTTGGGCCCCCATGGCAGTGTGCACCTGGACTCTGGGAGGGCACTGGCGGAGGTGGGGGGGGGGGGGGTCCGAGGCAGACACTCTCACTCTCGGTGGGGTCAGTGCCCTCGGGAAACCGCAGGGAGCTGCAGAAAGCTTGCTCCCCCCACAGCCCGCCCGGATTTGCATTCCCCACTGTGCAGGACTAGGAGACCCCGGGGCCGCTCAGGTCGCACCTGCTCTGATCTTGTTGCTGATGAAGGCCGCGCCCGCCCGCAGCAGTGTCCTGGGCGGGGACTCAGCACACGGGGGCAGCTCTCATCTCCCACCCCCTCCAGGGGAGCTGCTCTTGGGGCCAGGGACAACGCAGGCAGCCCACTCGCGCTGAGCCCAGCCCACTGCCCAAGGGCTCAGAGGGTCGCCCACTGTCACTTGCTGTGACTGCAGGCTCGGTGATGTCAGCTCTCCCTGCCCCCCTCCCTCATGGGCAGCGAGGAGACCGAGAGCCGAGCTCGGTAGAATGGAGGAAACTGTCACGGTGACCCCGCCCCGGCAAAGGGAAGGGTCCCGGGGGCGCCCCAGAGCCCAGGTGGCCTGGGAGGGGCTTCCAGGGTGCGCGTCCTGAGTGGGAGACCTGACCCCGGCAGGGGCAGCCCCAGCTCCTGAGTCCCCTCTCCCCCAGCAGAGCCCCCCCCCGCACCCCCTCCCACGCTCCCACCCCTCACTCCTCCAGCTCCTGGGAAGTGACAATGAGTGACAGCAGCTGGGGGAGTGAGTGTTCCCAGAATTCTCGGGACAGGAGGAAGCGGGGTCGGGTCGAACAATGCTCCCGGGAGCGCGGCAGCCTCTGTCTGCCGCTCCGTCCGTCCCACACCCACGTCCCACACCCACGCCGGCTGTGGCTTGATCTGCTCGGCCCCTCCGGAACTCGTGCAAAATCTAAGGGGTGGCGGCCCCTCAAGGAGGCGAGGCGTCGGGCGGGGAGCAGAGGGGGCTGTGAGGAGGCCAGGCTGCCAGGGCCACCGTTTAGCCTAGAGGTCGTCCCAGGGCCTGGTGCAGCTCCAGCTTCCTGTCAGTGCAGACCCCAGGAGGCAGCAGGAGGTGGCTCAGGAAACCCGGCTCCTGCCACCCATGCGGGCCCTGAGCGGAGCCCTGGCTCCTGGCTTCAGCCTCAGGCCCAGCTGCCGTGAGCCTCTGAGCCCTCCCCTCCTCCTCCCTCCCCCCTCCCGCACTGGCCTGCCTGCCCCTCCCCTCCTCCTCCATCTCCTCCCCCCTGCACTGGCCTGCCTGCCCCTCCCCCTCCCCTCTCCCCCTCCCTCCCCCTGCCCCCCCCACCCCATGCAGAGATGCAGTGGAGACCCTGGTGGCTGCCCCCTCGTGGACTTCCAGCCTCCAGACCCGGGGCCACGTGAACCTGTCTCCCTTGTAGAGTGCCCAGGCTCAGCCTCTGCTCCAGCAACAGAGCCCAGACAGGACGGCTGCCCACCGCTGGTGCCTCCAGGCCCAAAGCCCCGTCCGTCTGTCCAGCGTCTGCGGCGAGTGAGTCCTGACCCCTGCAGGCGGCGTGCACTGCGCAGGCCCTCAGAGAAACGCAGGGGTGCAGCACTCACCTGCGTGAAAGCCTGCAATTAGGGGCTCTGCACCCCGCGCCCAGTGCCAGCGCGCGGAGCAGGGTCGCTGGGTTTCTGAGGGCGGGGACGAGAGCGTGTCACCAATGGAGAGACCGCAGACAGACAGAGCCGTGCACAGGCAGGAGAGAAGTGTGTTTCAAGGACGTTTAGTTTTATTGAAAAACGTCCACTGGAAATAAAGGAGGGGCCCGCGCTGTGGCGTAGCAGGCAGAGCCACCACCTGTGACACCGCTTCCCACAGGGGCGCAGGTTTGTGTCCCGGCTGCTCCACTTCCTATCCACTCTCTGCTGTGGCCTGGGAAAGCAGTGGAGGATGGCCCGGGTCCTTGGGCCCCTGCACCCGCGTGGGAGAC